CTGATATTCTGTAATATCACACTGCTGAATTCTGACTCTTCAGAAAGACAATTTCCTTGGTTTTTGCCTGCAACTGTTTACAGCTGCTGTTATCTTGCCTATTATTTTACTGAAATGCTGTGCAGATGCTGTTAGCCAAGTTAAAACAGTTCAGTGCAATTGCTTTTAACCATTCCTGGTCGTTACACTGAGCCGTCATCTGTACCAGTAGCTAACGCTGTAACCAGTTTTCTTATTTCCTCCAAGATCCACACAACAGTTCTTCACGTCTACCCAGAACATGTATTTTATAACATGAGCACAACCTCACTGCAAGAGGCACATCAACATGATTAGTGCCAATCGGAGGCTTTAGAAGTAGGACAATTTACCCTTTCCACAACGGTTCTGTAATTCTAGTCTGTAACTGCACCACTGTTCACCGCTGCAGTTGCATGCATATGAAATCAGCAGTTCAGAAAGTGTCGAGCATCTCCTGTGCAAGAACTGGACCACTCCAGAAGCAGAAGTTACCAAGCAACACAGCAGCATCCCTATCTACAGCAGCCTGCAAGCTGCACTTGGCTGGAAATTTTCTGCATCACTAGCATGTAGGAGCGCTGTGTCAGGACAGCTCTAGGAGTAAGCAACCACCACCATCCCTTAAAGAATCAGCATGCAGCCAGTCCCCTAACGAAGCCTGTCTCACCTCTTCACCCATTCTACAGTAATGGTAAGTGGTAAGCAAGAGCTGAGTTCATAGTATGAATCCTGCCACTGCTTATATTCAGCATTTGGGATTTAAAAAATACAACAAGAAAAAAACTATGCAACATTTCCTGCAAGTTCAAGCATAACCAACAAAGAGCTTTCTAAACCTCTCCCCACAGAACATAATTGCAGATATATTTTGCTTATGGCTGTAAGCATATATACATGCAGCCACAGAATAAAGCAAACTTATGAATTACGAGACACACATGAATGTTATGGTCTCTAGAAAGATGTATGAGAAGTGCAAACACTGCTATGCTGCACAACCTTCTAATCCGTTCCATGGAACAAAAAGAAAAAATGAAGGGGTAGAGGGAGAGCACTCTTCAACTGCTGTCATAAGAAATCAGAACAAGCACTTTACCTGCTTCGAGGCCATACAACAGACCGAGACCTTGAGCGTGATCTGGACCTAGATCTAAAAAAAGAGCAGTGAGAGATCAGCTCTGGTGTGTGAGTCGTGCAGCTGAGATCCTCCAGCGCAGTTCTCTGAAGTCATCAGTGTAACACAAATAGCTGAAGTTACTTAAGATGCTTCTTCAAGTTACTGTCAGCTACAAAAAGTACAGGGACTCAAATAATGTAATATATTTCCTTAGTATAGATAAGGCCAAAGATGGAAAAACAATGGATGCCTATGGAAGAACAATGAATGCCCCATCCCTAGAGGCATTTAAGGCCAGGCTGGCTGTGGCTCTGGACAGCCTGGTCTTGTGTCTGGTGTCTGGACCCTGAGCACAGCAGGGGGGTTAAAACTAGATGATCATTATGGTCCTTTTCAAGCCCTGCAGGCCATTCTATGGTTCAAAACTGACAATATTGCTAGAAAGCGGCAGTAGATTCTGCCAGAAATATCACCCACGTATGAAATCCCACTGCCACAGTTAATTAGACATCATTACTCTCTGTATCACTTAAGACAAAGTAGAAAGCCTTAGCCAGGTATCAAAATCACAACCTTAATTTCAATGCGGTGTGAAAAACATCAGAAATGGCAGTTTTGAATTTAAAAGTACAGGTTTTTAACTTCAAAGTCAATGTTCACATGAGCTCTGGCGTTTCACTCCATGAGGCTATAAGCACTACAAACTGCAAAAAATGTAAGCACTAATTCCAGCCATTACATCTCTTGAAGCATTCTTTCAGCAGCATTGTGTGCTCACAGCATCACATACCTTGATCTCCTTAAAGAGCCAGACCGTGATCTGCGAGGTGAAAATGATCTATACCTACGAGGAGAGATTGACCTGGACCTGCGGTAGGAAGCTGACCTTGACCTACAAAAGAAAAAAAACAAAACACAAGCTATCAAAAGGTATTTTTCACAAAGGATGCAAAGGGGTATCCTTCCCAAATTGAAGGGAAAAGTAAAAATAGTAAAATAAATAGCAAGGCCGCTGCATTTGAAATCTTACCTCCTACCACGGCTTCGACTGCGTGAGCGAGAATACCTTCTTCCTCGGGACCTGGAGCGGGATCGAGACCGGGACCTGGGTTTAGGTTAGAGAAAACACGTATCAGAAAACAGCCTCAGCCAACAGTGCTCGTGAGGCCCTGCTGAAGTCAGAATTTTCAGACAACTAAGAAGAAAAAAAAAAAAAACAACAAAGAAAATAAAACAAAAACAAAACCACACCACTAGCATCTGTCAGTTGGAAAAAATGCCTGGGCCTACTTGTCTTGAGCATTTTTACTACCTAGAAAAATGTTAAAAGCTGAATTACATTGCAGAATTACATTAGAATAAAAAAATACTGTAATGCGTATTTAAAATAAACCTTGCAAGTTTGCAGGTCGACCCTCTTTGGCCCAAGGTCTAGCAGATCTAGACGATCTAGAAGTATCTATAGCCGATCGCTGCATCTAGGTGTTCTCTTCAATCTAACGACGATCAAACTGACAGCCCAATGAGCCAGGGTGAGGCTTGATTGACGCAAGAAGATTTTTCTAGCTGGGAATGTGGTCAATCTGGTGTTCCTCTTTCTAAACCGGAGGGGGGGGCCCCAATTGAAAGCCAAATTTACTGTTACGGCGGTCACCGTCTCAAATTTTCTGCCCTTAAAGAATAAGGTCGAGCTAGGTGGAGATGGCTCGAGGGGATCTGGCCTCTTATGCTGATCACCTCAAGGTCTAGGAGGATCTTAAGTGTCGGATTTGCAAGGCGCCTCAGCATGAAATCTTAAGGCTCGTGACATTCTGAATCAAGGCGACTGACTCAAACGAAGAAACCTGAAAGGTTTTGACCAGGTTGATTATTAAGATAGCAACATTTGATATGTATTAGCAACAAACTGTGATATACACCTGTTGACTTATAACATTAAGAGTTAAAACTGGCTTTTTGTTCGCTAAGAAGCGCTACACAAAGTGAACTGGCGAAGCAACCCCGCCGCTCCATCCCGCCCATACCTGCTCCTCCTCCGGCGGCTGTAGCGATGGCAGTCGTAGGCATAGTGGCCTTTCTCACCACACTCATAGCATCTGTCGTTGGGGTCGAAGGGGCGCCGCGCAGGAGGCCTGTCGTAACGGGAGCGACGGGGCATGCCCGTCGACACTTCCACTCGAACCCTGGAGCCACAGATAATCCTGCAAGACACAGCTCTGGTTAGTCACTGCTTTTCTGCCTGACTCCCATTTCACAGGAGCTGATACTGCTGGCTGCTGCAGGCCAACGAGGTCAGGTGCTGCTGACAGAACAGCCAATGGGCCTCGGCACACACGTACTTCCCATCGAGGCCGAGCACAGCATCTTCAGCATCCCTCGGGTCTTCGAACTCCACGAAGGCGAACCCCGGCGGGTTCCTGGCGATCCACACGGTTCTCAGCGGCCCATAGTAGCTGAAGGCTCTCTCCAGCTCGCCTTTGCCCGCGCCCGTGCCCAGGTTCCCCACGTACACCTTGGTCTCTGCAGGGAAAGCGGCCATGTCAGCGCGAGCCCGCCGGCGGCATCGCGCAAGCGCAACGCAGGGCACGAGACGCGCACGCGGCGCGGCCTCCCCTCCCCCCGCGGCCCGCAGGCGCCGCCATCTTTAACGCCGTCTCCATTTTGCTGCCCTCCCGCTAGCGCCGCGCCGCCCGCCCCTCCGTCACTCTCAGAGCCCGCTTCCTCCTGGAGAGCCGCTCTGCGGCCCCAGCCGACCGGCAGCGCCGGCGGCGCCCGCTCCCCGCCCGCCTCTCCCCGCCGACAATCCTTACAGCCGCCAACCGACAGTAGCCGCCTCCCCACTCGGCCTAGCCCGAGGCAAACCTCCGCAAGCCGCCCATCCCCGGTGCCAGCGGCAGCCCGCTCCCCTCCTCCGCCACGCCGAGCTTTCCCCTCGCGTCCTTCGTCGCTGCCCGCCCTACCATAACGCCCGTAGCGCGACATCGTCCCAGCTATAGGCCGAGCCCCGCGCGCGTCCCTGAGAAAGAGGGAACCGCCTGCGCGCCGCACCCCAACGGCCGCACGCCGGGGCGGGGCTCCGGTCGCTAGAGAGCGCGGGGCGGGAGGAACGCGCTGCTCGACTGTTCGCGCAGATCTCGCGAGAGCTGCGGCTGCAGTGCTGCGCGTGCGCAGGACTGGGTGTATATGGCAGGCGGATGGACCGCGTCGGGATAGAAGTGGGAGGCGCTGCGGGTTTGGGGTGTGCGCGGCGGCCGCTTCGTGGCGGAGTGTGGACCGCGCTGTGTTTTTGGAGCGATCGGTAGGAACCTCACCGACACGAAGTACTTCTTAACTAACCGCAGGAAGAATAAGGAAAGCCTTGTGTTAATGAGGACCTGGGCTTTTTAAAGGTGTTTGTTTGTGCCGACTTTTTTCCTTTAATAATCATACAGCAATTACTAAATCATTCGTTGGTGTAAAACAGTGCCAAAGCCTAAAGCGGAAACACCAAGTTCTTGAGCTGTAAGGAATCCTAAGGAATGAGGTCCTGCCAAATGCTGCTGCTCCAAATTAATGAATGCAGATAGGGAACAACGTTGGTAAAACCTGCTTCTTGCTGCTGCCTCTTCCTGGTAATTTTACACAGCTTGCCCTACATTAAAGGTCATGTATTAAAACAAAGACTGCTGTAGTAAAAAGCTTTCTCAAAACAGTCTTTTGGTTTGTTAAGTCAGAGTCCTTTTGGAAAAAAATACTCTGTGGAAGCTGTTCAACTAAACGTGCAAAGACATCTCCATTAGAAAAGTAATGACGTGAATGTTAGGTCAGATGAGTACCATTTATGTTTCTCATCTATCATCTTTCACAATGCTGTTTAGAACAATGACAGTGATACAGCAGTTTAATGTGTTACCCATTTGTTTTAACTAAACATAACAGTGCATGCTTTGTGCTTTTTGTTTACACCACTTGTAGTCCCTTCTTAAAGTACAAAAATCAGACAAAGGCACCTATACCCAGCACTTTTGGAGAGAGCAGATAGCAGATACAGGCACCCAGAGCAGTTTGTGAGGTGGGGTGTGCAGGCCCAGCTGCTTTAGGCAGGTGTCACTGCTGCTTTTCTAGGTAGCTCTGTACCAAGCCTTGAACCCGAGACAGGATGATCTCGTTGGAGCTGCTGCACTCCTCTGGGCTGTACGGGGGGTCGATGGTTAGCACCCCTGCCACGCACAGCGTTCTGCCCGATTCGCCTTGCTCTGTTACAGGGATGTGGTTTGTTTCCAGCCACTTTTTCAAGTCGTTCTTCCTCTTGTGGAGCTCCTCTGGGCTGTAAGCTTTAGTTTCCTCAGGCTCAAATATTCGGGAAAGCCGTGCCTTCATCTCGTCATCTGCATCTTGCATTATGTTGACCTCCTGGACAGCGTGGCCTAACACAACTAAAATGGACACGGGTTCATTCTCCGGGAAGTTTGCAAGGACGACGCTGTCAGCAAAAGAGGAACATATGATTGATTGTGCTTAACTGAAGATGAAGAAACATGGCCTAAGAGTCTTGGAGATGAGTGCTCAGAAGCCCTGGTGTAACCTAGGCTTTCAGGCAACACCGACAACCCAGCATCTTTCTTAAAAATAGGCTATTCCTTAAAATCATGCAACTGTGTGGCCTGGAATTTGAGACTACTCTAGGTACCAACAAGCAAAACCTTACATTACAATAACAAAGGAAAAAAGCAGAGGTGGGTATCGGAATCTGGACTGAGAATCTGACATTTATGGGCAGCATTCCAACCGTGCTTAAGTCTTCAAAAATTCAGAAACAGTACCTTCATACAGTCAACACTTGGAAAGCTAATAGTGCAATAGTGGCAGCTCACAGGGTAACATCGGAACTTATTAATGATTAATATTTAATTATTGGTCAAAGAGTAATATATTTCTTCTCTTTTAATGAGTACTGCTAGCTTCTTAACTACTGTAGCTTGAGTTCTGCAGCAAGAACACACTGCAGCATGGACAGGCTCGTGATGCAGCTGTTTGCTGTTCTTTTCCTAAGGACACTTATATTACAGAAGTCCTAAAACAGAAGCAGGAAAACAACTTATACTTCTAGAATCTCCTCCTCACATATAATAGAAAATAATCAGAAACCACTTTCTTCCTTTCGTGGAAATTGAAATTCCATAATTCTAAGCCAGCTACTTACTAATATGCTGTTGCCACCTTTAGTGGAGAGAAAGGCTTTGTGTGATACGTCTACTGAAATACGCCTTGATTTTTGCCTGAGCCATCCCTCAAATCATTCACAGCTTAACAGACCTTTCCTATCAAAAAGGCAAGCATCTCCACAAGAATATAAGCACACCAGAGCTACTACATGATGAAACAAGCAGGTTTTGCTCCATGTAAGCTTGCTTCAGTCTTGGGATCTTATTTTCCTAAAAAATTGTTCTCTCTTAGCTTGAGGAAAACGAAAGTTCTGATACTTACCTGGCAGAAATTGGATCAACCGTTAAGACCCATCCTTCGTATTCATTTTTCTCATCTGCTGCAACTTTCACCCTTTTGTTCACATAGGTCTCCCAGTCTAGAGGGCTTTTCTTTTGCCAGTCATTCATACCGGCTACACTCAGTACCTAGTATACAGCCAGATCAACAAGCAGAAGTACTGAATCCCCTCGCTTTGCCCTTCTCATCAGTCTCCAAGTAAGGATCCTCCGTGCGTTTTCAGCACCATTCGCTGCTGCACACGCGAGCTCCCGGCCCCGCCGCTTCCTGCCGCCAGCCCGCCCCCCGCGCGGCTCGTTTGAAAGCGCGGAGCTGAGCACGCTCGGAGCCGGAGTGTTTTGCGAGTGTACGTGCGCGCACGACATTTGTGGATGACAGGCGTGAGGCCAAGCTGCAAAACGAGAAGGCGTAGCGCTCGGTGCAGACGGTGCCTGCCTCCGCCGGGAGGCTGCGAGCCCCTGGCTGCAGCTTGGGCCACCTGCCAACAAACGGGGAGATGCACGGGGTGCGTGAGGGTCTTGGCGGCTTTGCTCAGTCGCCTTCAGTCATGAGTTCTCTTTCCCAGGGCAGCTGCAAACGTGAGCAACTCCCCGCCATTCCAACCTCCTGAGAAGCTCAGTGTTTTCAGACCGCTTAATGAAAAGCTTCCCGGGAATGAAGCAGTACAGAAGATTAAAAAATACCAAGGGAGATAGTCGGTACTCTGCAGGTTGGAGGGGGTAATTTGGTTTCTTCTTGTAAAGTTTCCAACCCCAGCGTGGTGGAAATTGTTTAGGAAGGAGCTAGCGAGGTCACCCAGCTGCTGCTTCCTCTCCATTTATTCTCAAAGCAGAGATCAGCAAACACGGCTGTTCTCTCTGTAAGCGTTGAGCATCAGGGGAAAATCCCGACTCTTGTTTGAGAGAAAAGCAGCAGACGAAAAGGAATGTAGTGTTTTTACATGTGTTTTCACATGTAGGTAACTACAGATTGTGCATAGAGTCCCAACAGGTGCCTTTCTTGATCAGATTGGATTTCCTTCAAAGTCACTACTGGGCAAAAACCCCCAAGCATCTTCAGTTTTAATTATCGTTTCGTTTCAACCCCTGCGGCTTTTTGTGTTGCTTTTTTCTCTTTCCTCATTTGTTTCATTGTCGCTAGTTTAATTGTCCTCCTAAGGACTAAGCCGCCCGCCCCCAGGATCCGTCCCCTCAGGCGATAACGGCCGTAACCGCCGTCGCCACAGCAACCGCCGCTTCCCGCCCTGCCCTCCGGCGCCCGCCGCCGCCCCGTGCGCATGCGCGCCGCCTGAGGGCCGCGGGCGGAGAGGGGAGTGGAGGGCTGGCGCGTGCGCGGCGCGGAGCGGCGGTTTGGCGGAGCCGTTGGGATGTCGCGTTACGGCCGCTATGGAGGCGGTGAGCTCCCGGGGCGGTGCGAGGCGGCGGGGAATGCAGTCGGCTGGGATCCGTGGGACGGGGGAGGTACCGAGGAGAGCCGAGCCATCGGCGAGGGAGCGAAGGAAGGAGGGGAAGAGGAGAGGCGAGGCGAAGCGAAGCGGCCGCGACCGCCGCCGCCGCCATTTTGCGTCAGCGGCCGAGGGAAGGGGGGGAGGCAGCGCGTGCCGCCGCCGTGCTGAGGGCGGGAGGGAGCGGGCGGCGCGGACAAGATGGCGGCCCCGGCACTGACCCAGCGCTTCCCTGCGCAGAGACCAAGGTGTACGTGGGGAACCTGGGCACGGGCGCGGGCAAAGGCGAGCTGGAGAGAGCCTTCAGCTACTATGGGCCGCTGAGAACCGTGTGGATCGCCAGGAACCCGCCGGGGTTCGCCTTCGTGGAGTTCGAAGACCCGAGGGATGCTGAAGATGCTGTCCGTGGACTCGATGGGAAGTACGTGAGCGTTCCAGGTGTTGGCAGGGGTTACGGTCGTTTTTTAGACTGGAGAGAGAATCAGGGTCTGGTCACTGGTTCTTCTCCTTTTTGTAGTTCTGCCATAAGCAGCAGCGGCTAACTTGGGGGAATCGTGGACTTGTTGCAGGGTGATCTGTGGCTCCAGGGTTCGAGTGGAAGTGTCGACGGGCATGCCCCGTCGCTCCCGTTACGACAGGCCTCCTGCGCGGCGCCCCTTCGACCCCAACGACAGATGCTATGAGTGTGGTGAGAAAGGCCACTATGCCTACGACTGCCATCGCTACAGCCGCCGGAGGAGGAGCAGGTATGGGCGGGATGGAGCGGCGGGGTTGCTTCGCCAGTTCACTTTGTGTAGCGCTTCTTAGCAAAGAACAGAATGTTACACCAGTTTTCTTTAAACTTTAACTCTAGATTAAATGTATAGGTGTATATTACGTTATGTTGATATTTCTATCAAATGTTGCTATCTTAATAATCAACCTGGTCAAAACCTTTCAGGTTTCTTCGTTTGAGTCAGTCGCCTTGATTCAGAATGTCACGAGCCTTAAGATTTCATGCTGAGGCGCCTTGCAAATCCGACACTTAAGATCCTCCTAGACCTTGAGGTGATCAGCATAAGAGGCCAGATCCCCTCGAGCCATCTCCACCTAGCTCGACCTTATTCTTTAAGGGCAGAAAATTTGAGACGGTGACCGCCGTAACAGTAAATTTGGCTTTCAATTGGGGCCCCCCCCTCCGGTTTAGAAAGAGGAACACCAGATTGACCACATTCCCAGCTAGAAAAATCTTCTTGCGTCAATCAAGCCTCACCCTGGCTCATTGGGCTGTCAGTTTGATCGTCGTTAGATTGAAGAGAACACCTAGATGCAGCGATCGGCTATAGATACTTCTAGATCGTCTAGATCTGCTAGACCTTGGGCCAAAGAGGGTCGACCTGCAAACTTGCAAGGTTTATTTTAAATACGCATTACAGTATTTTTTTATTCTAATGTAATTCTGCAATGTAATTCAGCTTTTAACATTTTTCTAGGTAGTAAAAATGCTCAAGACAAGTAGGCCCAGGCATTTTTTCCAACTGACAGATGCTAGTTATTTAGTTGTCTGAAAATTCTGACTTCAGCAGGGCCTCACGAGCACTGTTGGCTGAGGCTGTTTTCTGATACGTGTTTTCTCTAACCTAAACCCAGGTCCCGGTCTCGATCCCGCTCCAGGTCCCGAGGAAGAAGGTATTCTCGCTCACGCAGTCGAAGTCGTGGTAGGAGGTATGCTTATGTTTGCTTCTTCTTGTTTCTTTGTTTGGCTTAGAATTTTTTATGCAACTGAACAACTTTATTTGACTTTTCCGCAGGTCCAGGTCTGCTTCCTATCGTAGGTCGCGGTCAGTTTCACCTCGTAGGTCTAGATCTGTTTCTCCACGCCGGTCCCGCTCGGGTTCCTTGAAGAGATCAAGGTAATCATTTCTTAGAAGTTTTCGGCTTTGTGTTTGTTCCTGTTTCAGAAACTTGTAGAAGCATTCTTTGCCTGATAATTCTAGTTAAATTCATAATAATCCTTTTAGTTTTTGAGAATGTAGAGAGCTGCATATCCCATGTTGAATTTTGATGCCTAAAATGTCAAACGATCATGCAGGATTTATATTTCAATGTATAGATGTTATGTAGTGCTGTAACTGTCTTTGATGATGTTTTTCTTTTTAGGTCAAGATCGAGATCAAGGTCGAGATCCAGATCTGTTACGTGGCCCCGAAGCAGGTAGGTTACATAGCTGAGGGTTACGAAGTAAAGTTAGTTGAGGCTGTTGAGGTTTTCTGTCAGATGTTAAAATTTTCAGGAAAAAGCACGTGTTCCCTTTAGTAACTCAGGGTTCTGAAGCTTCTATAGACTAGTGCAGAACACTGTACTTTCTCTTGTTTGGTCTGTTAAGTTTGTTGGCGTGTGTGTGTGTGTGTGTGTGTGTGTGTGTGTGTGTGTGTGTCTAACACGCCGGTGATATCTTGGTATTTATGGTGGTCGGAAGTACTGTTTTCATTAATTTGCATTATTTGTTGTCTAACATAGCAAAGGTAGAATTTATTATTTATTTTTTTTCATTTGCTTTATGTAAATGAAGAAACTCTGGATTCTTCCAGATACGAGTCAGAAATTAGGGTGCCCTTCTGATAGCGTGTGTATAATGCATGTAACCTGGAAAGTGCTGTAGGACTTTTTAGTGCAGTTACAGCTGTTTCCAGCTGTCTTGTGTACTTGTCCATTCATTCACAAGTGTCACTTTGCAGTAGCTGAATTAAGTGTGTGATAAACACTACAGCAAGTTATTTTGTACTATCCAATGTACCTTTAGAATGATACCAGATTTGAGAGAAATACAGGATGTCTTTAATTCTCCGTAATGTTGTGGTTATTGTTTCCATGCTAAGTGAGCATAGTGCATGTTGTGAGCTTGTCAGATATGTGGCTGGCATGGGTGACCTGGATGTCTTCAGGTAGCTGCTTTGTTCAGTGGAGACTGCTCTTTGCCACCCTGTTCCTTGGTCTGCTGTTCTGCTTTAAAGACTGCTCTTAGACATAAGAAACACAATAGGCATTGGTGAAGAGACAAAACAAAAAAAGGAATCTTCAGCTGGATTAACAGATGTGGATTCTTCTGAGGATGAAGATTTCATTATTAAAAGGTGGTATAGAGGCTTTTATGAGGAGTGGTATGGAGAGCTGTACATAGTTCCTAGGGAAAGAAGAGATGGAGACCAGAAGATGGCTCAGTTAAGAGCAAAAAATCATACAGGCTTTTCAGAACCTAGTGAAAAGAGAAGGGAATTTGCCTGAGGTAGCAGAATGATGCTTTTGCATTGATCAAATGCACTTTTTCTCTCCCTCTTGCTAAAATCTGTTGAATCTTAATACCAGTTGTTGCAACGTGATTTAACTGTGGCTCGTCACTGTTCACTGAGTATGATGAGCAGGAAGTAGCTAAGGTCAGCGGGCTCTCAAGGGGAAAATTCTGTTGATGCTATTATTATTATTTTATTTTTTTAGTACCAGGATTGTTTTCTGCATTGTAAAGGATGCTCCTCAAACTCTGCATTGTGACACATTTCTTAGTAATTTAGTGATTGAGGTGGAGGAAATTTCATACACAGAAGTATAAGGAAAAGGCAAAACTTTGATGTTCAATCTGTAATGAAGTCATTGTTAAATTTATACGTCAGGCAGTTGAAAGACAGGTTGTTTTTTTTCTTGAAGAATCAAAGGAATGCAAGACACCCAGAGACAGACTCTTGATTCATAGGGAAGAAAGTCTGAAGAAAGTATTGCGTGATGCTTGCTGGACTGACAGCATCAAAGAGTACAGTTGGAAGCAGTCATGGAAAGCCATGGATAGGGAAATAGAACACTTCCTTTGGGAACTTAGAAATTTCACTTCTTGTAAGTGATGTTAGTGTTCTGATGCAGCAGTTTTATCTCCGAAGGGCTGGAAAAGACTTACAGCCTTTTCACAATGCTTAAATTTGACAGATCTGAAAGAATATTTTTGTCAGGTGCATACGAAAGATGAAGTACACTAAGAAGACATTTGTAGGAGTGTACTGCCCGCAGCAGTTTCAGCTGTAGTGGTAGCTGTTGCTCAAGGCTAATAGTACTCGCAAGTTTAAAGTCTGGTGTTTTATGAGCTGTGTGAAGATACTGGTCTGAACTTGGGTGGTTGATGTGTTTCCTGCCTCTTGCACCAGCATGCATAAATTGTTGGCCTGGGACCAAAGTCCAGAGTAACACGTACAGCATCTGTTGGAAAGCGTTCTTCTGAAAGATAGTTAACTGAAGCCCTGTGAGTTTCCAGCATTCTGTCTGCATTCAGCATGATGGTTCTTCTATATTTAGTGTAAACCTTGCTGTCTCAGATGTGGTGATATGCATGCCACTGGCTTTCTTGCTGAGCTGTTTTTACTTCTTGTTGTAGGTCTAGGTCCCATGGCAGATCTAAATCTGGCACGCCGGCTAAGAGGTGAGCATGCAGTGACGTCTATAATTTAGTGTTGTTCTCATGTGATTAACAAAGCCTCTGGTCCTCTAGAGGAAAAAAAAGCCCCCAAAACATGAGTGTCTTAATTAATCCATTTCAGATATGACAGTGATTATAAAATTTCCTCTACAGACAGGCCTTTGTAATATGTTCTTTATCTGTCTTATTGTTCCTAATAGCTCTTTGCAGTTTCTAGTTCAGTACTGTTTTGCTTGCTTGTTTTGTTCTCAGTTCTGTTTTATTCTTCCAACCATCAGAGAAAAGGTTATATTAATGCTGCTGAATTGAAGGAATCTATGTTTTTTTTTCCCCTCTTAATGCCTCACCTGTACAATCCCTTCTTTTCCTGTTTTCTTCAGTTAAGATGGTTGCATAAACGCTGTCTCCATACTAAACAAATGGAGAATCCCCTCAATGTGAAAGCTGATGGGAAAGCTTTGTCATCTTCAAGAGCTTCTGCCTAGAATCCCATAATAATTCCACTGCTCTGCTGCTGTGGTTGTTTTCATGTTTGTTGGTTGTTTTACTGGGGGGTGCGTGTGTGTATTTTAACTGTATACTGCAATGAGTGTGTTCTGTTTTGACAGTCGATCAAAGTCCCGATCACCATCTCCAAAGAGAAGGTATGTTGGTCTCTTGGTCTCTGCTGGTAACACATACTGTAGGACTGGCATTTTAGTATCTGTCTGCTGAGGAGTGTGACTGCTGCCTGTAGGAAAATACTGGGGAGATATTTTTCTGAGATCTCTTTGCCAGAGATAACATGACTGTGGTTTGATGTGTGGTGATACAGATGCGAAAATAAGAAGTTCCTCAGTGTGCCGTTAGATGCCTTGCCTTTGGCTGCTCCTGTGTTAACTAGGAGTTCACTGGTTCTTTACTGCACAGAGACTTTCTGCTGGTGAGCTTGAAACACAGAATAAATGTGGGATGCAGCACTGAGTCTCATTAAATGCTGCAGTAGGTCTGTGAAGGTAGAGTGGAGTAACCTGTAACAGTTGGGAAGGGAAGATTGAGTCTGATTTTACTGCTGTTGCTTATAGTTTTTTTTTTTTCCCCCCCCAAAAAATGCTGGTAAATAATTCCATCTGTGGGCATACATATAGTGACAGAATAGGCTGCTATATTTTAAAATTATTTTTACATACTTTTAGAACTTCTGTTAGACTGTTTACATAGATTGATTGTGATAGGACAAGGGGGAATGGTTTTAAACTAAGACGTGAGGTTTCAGCTGGATATTAGGCTTTTCACACAGAGGGTGGTGGCACACTGGAACAGGTTGCCCAAGGAGGCTGTGGATGCCCCATGCCTGGAGGCATTCAAGGCCAGGCTGGATGTGGCTCTGGGCAGCCTGGTCTGCTGGTTGGCAACCCTGCACACAGCAGGGGGGTTGAAACTGTGTGATCGTTGTGGTTCTTTTCAACCCACGCCATTCTTTTTTTTTAAAGTATAATAATTCTTTTTAAAGCTTCACTATTAGTTCTAACTTCACAGTTGCACAAATGAATTTTGTGGGAATTGAACAAATGCTTTTTATATCTAAGTGATCACCATGACAGGTTTTGGCATCTTGCTGCATAATGATGTATCCTGCCTTCTGTGAGAGCCACTACCAGTTGTACAGTTCAGATGACTTCACGATCACCTCATTTAAATTGCAGTACAATAATAACAATATAATTAATACAATTATACACATACAATAAAATAGGAAAATGCAGAGGAGGTTAAAGTAAAAAATAAATGTATTGTCTCATCATTAGCCTACTTATGTTGTCAACAGTAATTGGTTATTTTATCTAGGAAAAAAAAGAGAAAAAACAGTGCCTGAAGGGTTACAGAGTAGTGCAGGTACCCTCCTGATCTTCCCATGTTTGTGAATCCCAGATCACTGCTGAAATATTAACTGCAGATTCTTTTCCTTCCAGTCGTTCGCCATCAGGAAGCCCTCAAAGAAGCGCAAGCCCTGAAAGAATGGATTAAAGTTATGAATTTAACCTTTTAGGAAGAAAGTTATTTTGCTTACATTATTATAAGGGATTTTGTGGTGTCTTTGTAAATGTAAGAATGTAGATAGAAGAGTATATCAATTGAAATTTGGCATGATCTGGGTCTTCTGAGTTAGTCACACCAATAGACTAGCACAGGTCTCTTTTTATTGTATGAATTAACTTCCTGTGATATGAAAATGTGGGACTTTTTTATTGGCACATTGAAATAAAATGTGTATTTTTAACTAAAACTTCTCTGTAGTAACCCTGCTGCTTCTGTTAACGTGGGGGTAACTCTAGCTGTGTGCCATGTAACGTGGATGGGTGATGGCTAAGGGGAGAATGACTAATAGCGTCCTCTCAAACTGGTCACACTTACTGTTGGATCATCTGAAGGAAGGATCGCCTCCTGCTTTCTTTCAGGGCAGAACTTATCTCCTCTGCAGATGGTGAAAACTTTGCATATGCTTTTTTAATCCCTTTATGCCTTTAATGGGCATTTGTTTGTTGCACTGATCTAATAAGCACTGCAGTTGTAATCTGCGATTCCAAGAATCAAACAATAAGTTTTTGTTCAAACACTTATTTTAAGTGAATACATCTGCAGAAACATCCAGACATACAGCAATGACAATGTGAGCGCTTCCTCGACTTGTTGCATTTTCAGTTATTTCAGCTACTCGTATGAGGCAGACTTCAAATGTCTCAAAGCGTGTTTTCCTTCTCTGGGGGAAGAGGTAAGGTGGTCTGACCTACTTTCTGAGGGTGCATGTGCTCAGGAGGCAAAAGGAAGTGTTATGAGGCTTTCTGCTTTTGGCCTGAACTTTCCTCCTCAAGTGAAAGACTCACGGCTGACCCCAGGAAATCAAACCTGCTGCATAGAATGGGTATGGCCTTAAAGCAGCCCGAATCCTGGAGACGGTTGTGTTAATGAAGCTAATTTCTTGCAGCATCTGCACCACCTGCAGGTTTAATGATTCGTATATAGTTCTGTCACTCTGTACTTGTCCTCATTCTGTAGTAAAGAATTGCATGATGCAGCACTTTGTTGAAACAGATCACAGGACTGGAAACAGCGTTAGACTGAGCAAACAAATGGTTGGAGGGGAAAAAAGCCGACATACTTTATTCATCTATTTTTTCATAATGTGATGGGAGAGCTACCAGAAACATGCCAGTTTTGGTGGTAAAGGAAAGTGAAGAACTAAAACAAATTTCTGCCCAAAGCACTGAAGTGGAAAAGTGTTTGGGCTGCTGAGATCTCTAATGGCAGATTGCTTTCATTATGTACATCGTAACAGAGCTTCTTCAATGCAAGAGGGTGACAAAATTAACTACACTCACTCCTTTGGTAACCCATGGGTTTGGGGTGGGTTTTTTTTCTTCTGTTGTTTTTGTTTGTTTGTTTCTTAATCTGGTTTCCTGTTAATAACAAGTTTGTGGCACTTTGAGCAAGTAGTGCAGATGCTGAACATACTGTTGTGTTACTGCAGCGTTTGGCCTTTATCCATCATCCTGATATGCTTGGTGTCCATGTGGACACCGCCATGGTGCTTAGCAGTGAGACCCAGTGTTTCATTGGCCAGGTGCAGTGATCTGTATTTTAGCAATATTTATAACGTTCTTCCAGAGGAACGATGGGGTGGCATAAAATGCTGCCCTGGAATGAAATACCTGAAGCCTGTGACTTGTGCTTGGAATGCTTGTTGGTTGTGTACTGCCTGCCCAGCTCATAGCACACCTGCTGCTCTGGAATTTGATAGGCTTTTTCCTCTTCTGTACTCATGAGGTAAACCTACTCCCTAATAAACCTGCAGACTGACACGACAGCTGTACTGGTACCTGTTTTTCAGTACCCAGAGACACCACGGAAGATGGATCCCTGTGCATGCTGTCGGGGCAGCTTTACTGGCTACTGTGGCCTGATGCAAAGGACAGGAAGCACTGCAGAGAGGTGTGAAGGGGCAGCTACAAATCCCATGCCCAAAATAGAGTACGCTACTAGGGTGTTTGCTGCCGCTCTGGGCTCGAGTCATTCTCAGGGTTCCTGCTTCATTCCTGTAGCCAGGGTATGTGGAAGATGCTCTTGTGCAGTTATTGCTGTTGGCGTCAAAATAGGAGTTAAGCCAGAGGAGCTGGCAGTGAGCCAGTATAATTCCAGCACTCCTTCCCTCCACAGGCTGTGTGTGTGTGTGTGCGAGCAGGACACTTCTGTCAGCTGTGATTGCAGGGCGCCCTTGGGTTAGTTGACCTTGAGTTATGGGGCAATTCTGCACAGCTGAGTAATGCAACAGCCAGCACCTCTAGTGCTGTTCTGGGACTAGCTGATGCTCTGAAATGGCTGCTGAGCCATATCTCCATCAGTCCCCTGCTGTAGGTTGAGCTCTGGTAGGCTGTGTCCCTAAATGCTGTTTTCAGAGCAATTTTCAGTGGAACAAGGCCTGTTGTGCAGCAGTGAGGCTGGGGAGAGGATGAGGGCAGTGTAGAGACAGGAGAGCAGTGGAGTTAAAGTATAAACAATGCAGACAGAAAGAAGAAAGCTTCCAAGTGGGTTCTGGGGCAATGCTTCCAACTGCAGTGCTTCCAAGTGGGACCTGCAGGGTTTTTGAGGGAGCCTGCTGGAGATGCTTACCTCCTTCCTGCAGCAGGAACTGGCCTCTCTCCTCAGGCAGTGCCAAAGCACAGCCAGGTGGTGTGGTTGTATTCCTCCCCGGGCAGGAGCAGAGGACAGGGGAAGTGAGGCTGCAGAGGGGCAATGAGCACTGCTGAGCATGGTGGCACCAGGGAGGACCGTGTGCCCACGGCCTTCCTGGTGCAGAACCCCAGGGCATCTCCCCACCATGGGCATTTCTTACAGCTCTTCAAACAGACCCAGAAGCCACAGGCTCTTAGTGGCTCACCTTGTTCACAGCATCGGGCCAGTTTTGGGTTTCCAGACAGAACGCTGAGTGCTTGGGGTAGATGGCAGCACCTTTGCCCTTCAGGGAGCCATCCAGGTTGTTCCCAGTGTAGAACTGGAGGCCAGGCTGGGTGGTGTGAACCTCCATGGTCCTGCCGCTGGGCGGGTGGTGAGCCCTGCAGAGAAAATGCTGTGGGTGGGCGAGTGGATGCTGGTGCTTCAGGGGCACCCTCAGGGCTGCCAGCCTTACCTGGCCACGAGGTGCCGAGTCTGCCCCAGCGGCAGGCAGAAGTTGTGATCGAAGCCATCCAGGTGGAACTGCTTCAGGTGCTTCCCCAACTGCACCGGCTGACGGAGGTCAAAGCCAGTGCCCTGCACGGCAGCCACCTCCCCTAGGCCAGGAGAGCAGCAGCATCAATGCTTGCATCCAGTGCCCCGCGCACCAGAAGCTGTGCCGGGCTGAGGCACCACCACAGCTTCAGCCTCTGCTCCCTGTGGCTCTGCACTGGTTCTGTTCTGCAAACCCTGAAAACCATCAGGCTCCCTATGACAAGCAGTGAATTTGTGTGGCTTCTGAGCCTAAGAGAAACGCTTTTACAGCTGCAGAGCAGCAAAACACCTTGAGGGAAAAAGAAAAAAAGCCATGTTGATTATGGCACTGATGTAAAATACAGCACCACTGCACCTGAGCAGTCTGTGCTTAATAGCTGTACAAACCTCATCTTTGCCTCTGGGGCTAAAACCATACGCAGTTTTATCAGCCTCAAGGGCTAAGGTTACGCAAAGCTTTGAGTGAGTGCTGCAAAAAGCTGGGGAGAGAGCTAGCTGCAATTAAGATGCAAAAGCAATTAATTACCCTCCAGGACAGTTGTTATTGAGTGTAACCTGCCAGTGCCCTGATGGAATCAGCAGGGAGAAGCAGGGCAGTGGGTTTGCTACAGCATGTAGTTTTTCCCCAGCTTAGCAACGTGCCAGGCTGAGCAAAAGCTGCTGCAACTTGGAAGCCCCACTCTTCCAGGTGCAAGCTGGTGCATGCATGCACAGTGGTAAACGCAGGCATAACATTACTTCTATCAGGCACCTGAGGTAAAAAACTTTCTTGTCTGCTTTGTTTTTTAAGCTTATTTTGTCTCAGTCAGATGTTTCTTTTTTCCTTTTTGTGAAATAATGCTTCCAATTCCTAAAAGCAATCTATTCCAACATCAAGCCTGGTGTGAGATCTGTTCTGCACTGAAGTTGGCTCTTGCTGCAGCTCAGGGCAGTTGCTTGCACAGCTCAACAGGAGGGTGCTCGAGTGGGCACCAGGAATGCACGCTCTGCCTCAGCTTGCTTGGATTGTTTAACTTGGAGGCAGGATCTTTCATAGGGAGAAACAGTGATGGGAAAAACAAGCCAACAACAAAAAAAACCAACAACTAGGAAGCTCTGTTTTCCCCGTTTCACCCCCAAATCAAGATGGAGTACAAGAAGTTGCCAGTCTGCTTCTATGCTCTGAGGCCAGAGGAGACAGCAATGTCACCCTCATTGAATTAACCTGCTTAGCATGCAAAATGCGTTGTCTTCCTTCACAAGCTTTCCTCTTTCTGATCGTTAGACAGGAAAGAAAAGCACTGGGTTTGTGTGCTCAGGCTCCCAGCCAGCAGTGCTAGCCCCCTGTCCTTTTGTAGAGATGGGTGGATGGATCATCTTGTGTAGGAGGGGCAATGCCAGGATCCTGGGCAGCAAGAACTCTCCTGCTTGGGCATGATCTTGTGGAAACATGATTTGTGGAAGTAAGACCGCGTTATTCCATAGAACATCCCAGTGTAGGAGTATGGTAAAGCCAAGCTCTGTACAAACCCCTGTCTGTGAAACTCTCCCTGCTATGTGTCACTCACCAGTTGGTATCTTGGTGTCATCCACAGGTAGGTAGGAATCCGCTTCAATAGAAATCTCATGGTCATAGATATCAGGCGAGCCCTATGGGAGGAAGGGAAATGCTGGGATTCCTGCAAGGGTCTTCAAACACCCAGGTGTGGTGATGCTGCAGCTGATCTTGTAGTGCCTGTGGGGCATCCTGGGCTTTTCCCACCTTGTCCTCATTAGAGGACAAGTTGCCAGCATGGGTGAAAGGCAAAGGCTGTGGGGGACCTCTTCCATGGGACTATCAGCCTGAACTTGCACCATGCCAAGCATTAACACTGCCAGCTGGCTAGCCTAAATATGCCAGCATATAGTAGCAGTCAAAAAGGGGGAGGAAGCAAGCATGGTGGGAAGAGCAGCCTGTGCTCCTGCTCATGCTCCTCTTCCTCCCTGGCAGCCTCAGGGATACTGGCAAGGGACTCACTGGGCAGGAAGAGGAACAAAGTCGAAGCTAAACCTGCACGTTACTATCTAACCTGAGCAGTAGTTTCATGCCCAAAGGTCTCCTGTTCCTCTGGAAATACACCTGAGCTGCATTCCATAGGTGTTGATATTGCTATATGGCTAGGAGGACAATCTGAGAGTAAGCTAATTACTGCACTGCCATTTTTAGGGCAATATCGTGAGCAGACCTGCAGAGAAAATCTGGAATGTTTCTCACTAAAGCTTTCACAGGTCTCTGTTACACATTTTCCCTTCCTGTGCCCTCTGCCTAGGAATATTTAATTGCCCAGGTCCTCTTCTTCCAAACCAAGTTATAAATACAAAGGTGCAGGAGACCAAAGTGCAGCTGCAATGCAGTGCCAATCACTGTGGGTCTGCTCTGCATGCCCCACTGTTCAACTCTGGCCATGTCACATTCCTTCTCCATTATGTTGTTTCTCCTCCTATTTTGACCTGGATCTTTATCTGCTACACTGGCTGGTCTCAGCTGCAGCCTTCAGACAAGGGTTTCAGTACCTTGTCTCAAAGAGACTCACAGAGGCCAGCCAAAAATACCAGTCTATCACTAGGAGATGCCAATTCTGCACCTCCTGTGTAATCTTTCCAAGGGTCCACAACCAGCAGAGGGCAAAACTACCCAACCGCAAACAAAAGGAGGGGTAATATTAATTACTGGGTGGCTGTGTTCACAAAGCACTGGAATAATGCAGCCTTCCTTGAGGTCTATGTGAGGTCTTTTGCAGCTTGTAGGCTGGGACACCATTGCTTTGTCCCCACAAGTCACCACCTTTTTGAGTTTCCTTTTCTCCTTTGCTGAAAATACTCCTCCTATGCTAGATGCTGGGAATGTCCTGAAGCAGTCAGTGCTAGCCTCCCTTACCCATTCTCCTGCCAGCAGGATCTGACAGCTGAGGCCACCATGCTGGTCCCAACGATGCCACGCAAAGCCTTTCCCAGTGGGAGCCTGGGCTTCTTCACTCCTACGTGGACCCCTCTATGGAGTTGGGTCTCCCCATACCTACCTGCCCTGCCAGGTTAAAGTACGCATGGTTGGTCAGGCTGATGGGTGTCTTCTTGCTGGTCTGGGCTCGATAGTTGATAGCCAGCTCACTGCCATTGAGCGTGTAGGTGACCCAGACCTTCAGCTCACCGGGGTAGCCCTCCTCACCGTCAGGGCTGAGCCGGTAGAAGCAGACACCGTTTGGGAGGATCTGGGGGCTCCAGAGAACCTGCAAGGACAATGTGTTAGTGCTCCTCTCTCCTTCCCCAGGCTGGGATGAAGCTGGGGACAAAAGGCACACAGGGAAGCGTGCACTGAAACAAAGGTTTCTGTTGATCATCTTCTCTGCTCTTTCTCCTAGGAAAAAAAGAAAAAAGAAAAAAAATACAAAATAACAACACAACATCCTCTTACTGGGGAAAAAAAAAAAGTGGGAATTGGTGGAAAACACAAACATTAACCTGCTGGCTTTAGGTGACCAAGAAAACAAGTTTTTCCGTGAGTAACTGAAGAAAGGAGGCAGTTTGCTATGGTGGGGCATCAATTCCGGAACTCTGTTACTCCATGCCTCAGAGGGCCTGGGCTGTGATTGATTTTTACTTTGCAGTTGGATCTATCCCCCCTCCTGTGGATCTTTTGGTAGGCAACATCAGCTCATCAGGCTGCTGCCTTTCCTGGACTAACTCAGGGCTGGCTTTTAGGGTGCTGGTAGCAATGTAAAATATAAACTGTGCTAAGATAAGTGGTATCTGATGGGTAGCACTGAGTCCTTGGAGATTTGCAGCTAAGAGATAGATGTTTCTGTCAAAGAAGACAGATCTAGAGGCAGGAGCTGGATCATGCCACTGGAGTGACTGCTTTCATGTCTTGTGCAGAGATCACAACTGGAGAGGACTCATCAAAATGCAACATTTCACCAAGGTTGCCAAATATGATAACCAGGCTGTGGATCCTGCACCAAGTACAGCTTCAGTTCCCACTGCCGTGGGATTCTAGTTTAATATTTTGAGTTTCTGCTTAAGTTCACCTGAGGAAATCTATTTATGGTCAGTTAGCATGTATATATTTTTAAAGCTAGGAAAGTTATTTTTCTGAAGTTTTCCAGTTCCCCAGCAACATGATTAAGTATCACCACCACAAGGCTGCAAGCTTCCATGTCATCAAGCCCTGTGTTGATCACTGAGGTCTGTGAGATTATGAAAAAATTGAGATCACCAAGATAGTCACAGCCAAGAGCTATCACATCTTGTTTGTGTCAGGTCTGACCACAGACCTCGCATGGTGGCTTTCACCTGGCTGAAAGGCATCCACGGGGAGTCCATGGGTGTCTGATGCCAGGTCACAGAGATTAATCTAATCATGCTGTGTTACTGGTGCTGCCCAACAGTGACATTTTTCCAGACTCTCTGATTCTTGCTTCATCAGGCTGGATGTTCTCTCACAAAACAAACATTAACTAAGGAAAGCATCTGCACCAGCATGTTTGCATAAGTTCCTTTGGGAAGCGAAAGATCAGCTCCTGCTGCTTACACACGCATTCAATTTGACACAGCCTAGGGCTTGAGGAAAGCAGTGACCTCTTGAATCTATTGTGAAATCAGTAGCATGGCCAGCAAGGCCTTTAAGAAAGCAGCCCTTCTACTGACAGATTCTGCTTCTCTTACTACTGACAGAGCACAGGTGGCACACAGACCTCTGAATCAGCTCCTGGGAGAATATAGAAGGGTTCAAAGGCAGTAGGAGGTGATTTTGTATGGGAAGGACAGAAGGGCAGGCTGAGGAATGGAAGGGGCAGTCTTCTCCAGGGCTCCTGCAGTTGGAAGGCTCTACTGCAGCCTGGTGCACAGCAGCATACAGAGCTTCAAGGCAACATCCTTGAAACCACAGGTGTGGATGTATCACTGTGGATCAGTGTTGCCACAGTGGAACAACGTGTGGCACCTGAGGATAACACAAGCCACCCAGGCAAAGCCAAGTACTTTGTGGCTGCTGAAACACCAAAATCTTGTCTTCCTCTCATCCCTGCATGTGCAGCATTTTCAGGGAGCTGAACCAACTCAGTAACCACCAGAAAGTCCTGCAGGGTCAGGATGGAAGACATCATATCTCTTTGCCATGACCCTGGAGGCTGTGTGCTGAAAGCCATGGAACCCACCAGCCCAACATTCACCTTGTCAAAGCCCTTGGCTCCTCCATGCAGTGAGTTGGGCCCATTATTAAGGAATAGCTGATACTCTTTTCCATCCATGGTGAACTTCCCTTTGGCAATCCTGTTGGCAACACGACCTACCACAGCTCCAAAGAAGGGGTGCTTCCTCGTGTAGCCTGCATAGAGAAAAAGCAGTGTTCTGTTACGTGGAAGGACCAGGGAAGGACAGGCAGTCTCCGGGTGTGCTTGTGGACTCAGAGATTTCCCTCTCGACTTCCTTCCAGTGCAGGGGGCTGCAGTCCTGGTGTTGCACAGGGCACACAGCTGGCCAGTTCTGCACATGACCTTATTGCTCTCTTCCCATATCTGAAGGGTGCTTACAGTGGGAGTGGGGTTGGTCTCTTCTCACAGGTGACAGGTGACAGGACAAGGGGAAATGGCCTCAAGTTCTGCCAGGGTAAGTTTAGGTTGGATATTAGGAAACACTTCTTCATAGAAAGGGTTGTTAAGCACTGGAATAGGCTCTCCAGGGAGGTGGTTGAGTCACCATCTCTGGATGTGTTTAAAAACCACTTGGATGTGGTGCTCAGGAACATGATTTAGTGGAGGGTTGTTAGAGTTAGGGTAGTATAGTTAGGTCGTGGTTGGATTTTATGATCTTTAAGGACTTTTCCTGAGTGATTCTATGATTCTATATGGGTGCGGCACTGAGGGACATGGTTTAGTGCTAAGCCTCGGTAAGTTGGGCTGATGGTTGGACTTGGTGATCCTGAAGTTACTTGCCAACCTAGATGATTCTGTGTTTCTATGTTCTTTGACTGAAACAGCTCAGGGAGAGACCTGCAATGTTTACAGATTTGCAGAAAAGCTCAATGAGGGCAAACTTGTTAGAGGGGCACATTGCAACACGGGGCCACCAGTGTCCCCACACCCACTGCTAAGCCCAGGACAGGGAGCACGAATTGCACTTAAACAATCCATTAATTGCAGGTGCCTTCAGGAGCGGATCACAGATAGGAGCAATCAAGTAACCTGTCTGATTTCTTTTTTTTTTTTTTTTTTTCTCTCTTTTATTTATTCATTTATTTTTTAAGGAAACAGATTAAGACCCACCTTCGAGCGTGTCAAAGCCCAGGACAATGTCTGCAAATTGCTTGGCCCTGTCTCTTGTCTCCAGTGCGGCGATTATGCACCCAAAGGACAGGATTTCCACTCTGACGCTGTCTGACTGCAGCACAAATTTCTCCACCTCCCCTCCTCCATCCTCCGGGGGCATGTGCCCGAAAATCTCTCTCTTCACCTCTGCCATCTCTCCCAAGCCCCGTCCTTGCGAAGCTGCTGGGAAGGAAGTCCAGCAGGAAGTGAGGGCAGCTGGGAGTGGAGCAACGAGGGTTATGGAGAGCAGAGTTCTAAAAATCACATGATTGCCTCCGGCGTGGCAGAGCTGGGAGGAGTTACACCGTGCAGTCGCTGCCTGGCAGGCTTAGGAGCGTGCTGAGGGAAAAATGAGTTTTTGGAGGTGCGTGCCCCTGGCCCGGGCTCCATTACACACTACATTTTGAAACAGCTGCTTCCAGTTGCCATGGGGAAGCAACCTCAGTGTGCAGGAGAACCCCAGGAATATGAAAGTAATCTGTGCATGCATTCTTCTGAGCACCTGTTTTCAGATTATTTGGGGGGGGGGAAGGGGGGAGAGGGGAGGAGGGAATCCAGTCTCTAAATATTTATCTCCAGCAAAGGCTTCCCTCCAGGCAACACTGCACACAGCTTCCAAACTGCCCACAAAACAAAGCCTCCACGGGGCGGTTGTGCAACCTGCACTTTGTCAGTGCTGCCTTTCTGCCTGCAGTAAAACACAGGCTGCTGTATTCAGGTGCTTCCTTCCGCACCCTTATGGCCCCGACATCTAAGACCGTGCAGGTGCAAGGGTGATACCACGAACAAATCTGCTCGTGAGCCCTGCACCAGATTTTCAAGCTGGTGGGTAAATCAGAAGAGACATCAGCCTGCACAAAGACACATATTACATGAAAGAGCAACAGGGTGAGCAGTCTTCAGTGTTTGAGCAAGGCAGTTCCAAGAGCCTGGCTTTGATGCCTGCAGGATTGCTCACGGATGTCCCATGCCTGTATCCTTCTTGCCTCTGGCAGATGGCGATGTAGGCAGCTGCAGTAGATCTTCTCAGTCGCTCTTATTTTATAGAAGAAGTATGTTTCATGGCTGCACAGAGTTTTGCCTATATTGAGGGTCAAATATAAGATCTTTTCATTTTTCCCCTTTTGCTTCTAGTAAGAAAAATGTGGCACCAGGCCTGGACATATCTGACAGTGGCAGCCAGGCATTTCCACAGCTGATGAGCATTCACAAAAAGCTGTTCCACATCTCCTAGGCTTTGGGTTCACCTCTCTCTTACAGTAGTGACCACAACAGCTATTCCTCTGCCTCGAGGCTCTTGCAAACAGGTGGGGCAGTGCATTGTCTGTTTTCTCCTCTTTCTCCTCACTTTCATCACAGTTATCACACCAGCCTTTTGCAAGCCAACAAATGCCCAAACGCTGGGCACCAAGGATTTGATGGTGGAGTCCCCATCTATAGAAATAGTCAAGAGATGTGCTGCTGAGGGAAGTGGTTTGGTGATGGGACTTGCTGGATCAGGTTGGTGATTTGGCTTTAGTGATCTTGAAATCTTTTCCAACCCAGATGATTCTGCTATTCCATGATTTATCAGCTCCATCACTGTAAGCGGCCCTGCAGGCTGACATAGGCATGACATGAAGGCAGGCTGTGTGCATGGTCCAGCTTCTCTAATCCGGGCAAGAGGCTTCAGTTGCAAAGGAGAACTGGAAATTCAGATTTGGAGTAAATGGTCCCTTATTTCCCCAACCAAAACCCTAGCAAAAATGCATACCTTAAAAAAGGGTGGTTTTTTTTTTTTTGTGTGTGTGTGTGTGTGTAAGGGAGCCATTTACTGCACCATGCATTCTCAGGAAATGGATTTGTTATGAGAAAAATTACAGATATTTCCCTGAGATCAGCAGGTTGGAAATTCCAGGTGCCTGCAGGGAAGCTGCAATGTTCCAAGGCAGAAATGAAGCATCACTTTACACATGATTGTGCCGTTCCCTTAGGATTCCTTTAGTTTTGTGCTTTTTTAAGATGTTTTGGCTTTTGTTTGTTTATTTGTTTTTAATCCAAAATAAAGTGACTTTGCTTAATATGTGACAGTTAACGAGAAGAAAAAGGCATTTCCATACCCAAATTACAAGCTCCCTTCTTACAAACACTGTCAAAATGAAGCTCAAGAAAAGATTTAGCACTTTTGACGCAAACTTTAGCATCAGTTTTGTACCACAAATCTGAAACAATAAAAAAAAACATTCTCCATATGACTTTTGCAAGCAACAGCAGAGGAGGAGATCTCATAGAGCTCTCATTTTGCAGACACCTATTTGTAATGAGGAGAAGCTGTGGCGGTGTGGTTCTAGGGGAGCTGAAACAGGGAACACAGCCAAGCCAAGATGACCACATGAAGACCAATAACCCCATTACTGACAGTACACACACTCAGCTGGCACTGCCATGCACTTGCCAGGTCTGACTCTCCGCACAGCAAAAAATCATCCCTGGGACACAGTTATTTATCCTATTGCATGTTTCCCTTGATGGCCACTGGAAGCTCTTTGGACATGGAGGCTGTTTCTTATCTAGTGCCATGCAGTACCTGCTGCCCAAGATCCTGTTTTGGTCACTCCTGAGATGCTTCTGTAACAGGCTGCATTACTACACTTCCTTCCATATTTCTGACTTTAGTTTAGCTGTGGCTTTCAGCTTATGTGGGATCCAGAGCAAGACTTTGGGACTCGGCAATGAAAAAATCCTCATGGACAGCTCAGGTTATTGCTGACATTCCTTTTTTGCTGGTAACAACAGCAGTGAACGCTGCAGACGGAGACGAGCTCTGCTGGGGCTGATGGCTGCATAGACACAGCAGAGAATGCAAACATCACTTGTTACACCTCCCAGCATTACAAGCCTGTAATTAAATCCCTTTTCTTTGACAAACTTTGTGTAAGCTGGTGGAGCTGAGCCAACACTGGAGCTGCAGGGAGGTTGCATCTGTGGGCAGAACAAAAGGGGAGACATCCCCTCCTCCATCTTATTGCCTATTTGTCAAGTGCATCTTCAGCTCTGCTGGGTGCTTCACCACACACAGCCTTAAAATGGAGCCTGCACTGCTTTGTGCTTCATCTCTTCTGGGGCAAACACACCGAGCCATTGATTAGGTTATTTTAGGATTGTGGCTTGCTGTTGCTCTGGCGGTCGTTCATCAGCAGCCAGCTACACGTGTTTCAGAAAGCTCTTCAAAAAAACACAGCCACCCAAGAGCACTCCTCACACAGCACGTTTCAGATGTGCCTTTGTGCACGAGCTGTTTGTGCCTCAGCAGTAGCTGAAGAGCCATTCGGATGTGCCGGTTGCTATAGAAATTACTTTCCTTGGGAGCTAAAATAATAGCTTGCAGCTCTTGCAACTTGCTGTTGTGTGGGCTGCCTGGAACCAGAGACACTTCCATGTAGCACTGGGGGCTGGGGAGCATTCTTGCATACTCTGAGACAGATTTTCCTTTCTCTGTGCTCATGCAGCCACTTTTGAATTTAAGCTTTGCAGAGGATGTGTCACAGCTCTAAAGGTTCAGAAATAAAAGCTGCCTATGAAATGGCAGGATGGCCTTGCGGCTGAGGTTTCTGATGGGGGTGAAGAAGATTTGGGTTCCGTTTCCATTTCTGCTTCTGAAAGTTGAGGCTATGGGACTGCTCACACTGAGACAACTTTTAGTGCAGGAGACACTGCATAGCAACTTGTGGGGGCTTACAGGTCTTTAGAAGTACCTAAGCGACTCAAGCAGGAAGGCGACAAGCAGGTCAGCTTGGCTTCATTCCTCATTTTTTCACTGGTGAAAGTACTGGGGGGAAGTAGATGCTCCATGGACCCACAGCTCTGCAGAAGTTAGTGGGTCTATAGATAGTTCTGGGCTCCAGGCCTGATTTGCACAGCAGCTCTTGCTATCTGCCCAGGAGACAGAGGAGGGGCAGGAGAAAGAGGCATGAGAAACACTTGGATGCACCTGTGTCAAGAAGCAGGGGCATGGTGGTCAGGTTTGTGACTCGTGGCACACAGCCTACGTAGGGTCCCATCAGCTGCAGCCAGCACTAGTTTGCTTTTGCAGATGGGGAGCAGCAAAACAGTAAGAGAAGGAGGCAGGAGGGCATAGGATGAAAGGAGAGAGAAAACAAACAGGGAAAGTATTTTGTATCACAGCACAAACCCTGTGCTGTCCTAGAAAATTCGCTCTCAGATGTGTGCATGACTGCATTGGCAACTGGCAGGGAGATGCCAAATGGAGATAAAAGAACTGCAGACTCTGCTGAAGGCAGCAAGCTCAATCAGTTCCTGTCTGAGCAGCAGCAACATACATAGGTGCAGGGAGGAGGGTGTTTGGGGAAACCACAGGACAAAACCGGGCCTTCGGATGTGAGGCAGCTGTACTTGGCTTAGAGGCAGCTAGTGATAAGAACTTGTTTCACACATGTAGACATGTGGATTTACCTCCTTCCAAATTTAGATGTAGCATGCACCTAAGTTCTGTGCCTGCTCAGTTTTGCTGGAGTTGTATCAGGGGAAAGCTGACTTTGTATATCTACCCACTATGACTTCATGAGCCTGATTTCTCCACCTCCACCACAAAACTGTCATCTTCAGCTGCCAGCAGCAGCAGCCATTTCACTGGCATTTTCCCTTCCTTGCGAAATCGAAACAACAGAAGCAATACTTGCAAAGTCAACTGCTTCTGTTGAGACAAAATCCGTGCACGGCTGTGTTGCTTTGGGAGTCTGGGAAGATCAATACAATCACACTATAGGGAAGTTACAACAGATTCAAGCATGGCTATTGCCGCTAGCAAGGTAAAATGGTTCAAAACATTTTGTTGGGATTTAGTCAGAAGAAAATTCTTTGCAGTGGGGGCAACATTTTAAGGTTAATCAATAACTGGAGCCTAATGTTCCAGTTAAGTTTTCATCATCAAAGGGCAAGACACAAACCACATAACATCATTAAATGTCTGTTTTAGAAATGTGTATCCTTTCTGGTAGATCTTCACAGGAGCTTACTGAACAATGATTCTGGGAAACAACCCATTTCACAAATTGAACACTGCTCGTTTTTGGGAACTGTTGCCTAAGATAAATCTAGTGTTGTGACGTCTTCTGCATTGGAGACTGCAACACTCAGGAGCAAAGAATATTTCCAGACTCTCTGTCTTTGAAACAGAGTAGCCGTTTTAGGAGGAGAATGACACTTCTGGTGCCTGGATTGCCCGCAGCTG